GCCTTGAAGAGGAGACCCTCTGGACATTTATCTTCAGTGCTAAAGGAGCTTTGTAACACTTGTCTGAGCACGGCAGAGGCCAAGGGTCCAAGGGGCCACATGGCTGAGAGGGTAAGGAACATGAGGTGTCTGGGAAGAGGAGATCCTGCCCAGAGAACTGCTGTATTCGAGGTTGTTTGTGTTCCTGAAGTGTACCCTGTTCACTTTGCTAATAAACCCTACAATCACACGTACTGTCAGTTCTGTATTATCAATGGAAGGGATTATGGAATTCAACAGAGAAGTGGGAATGCTGTAGGAGGGAAGGTTGGTGTCAGACCAGGAAAAAGATAGATGAAAGGTCGAGACATAGCTGATATCTGCCGCATAGGAGTCAGTCAAGCCTTGGATGACTGTGAGTTTGATTTTCCTTCCCCCTTGTGAAGTTGGAAGAAGTCAGACCTGGTCCTCACATCATTTCGGCTGGAGGGTACAGAGAATAAGGAAGTCAAGACCCAACAAGGAAAGCCAGAGCACTAGCTTAAATCCAGGAGATGGTCAGAGCCTCCTTTTCTGCTGGATGGCCTATATCTCAGGTCAGTAACAGGGCAGTCTGCAAAGAAGACAGGATGTACCGGAGCCAGATAGAATGGCTACCACGAGCACATCAGTATTCCAGGCACTTGGTTCTGACTGTGATCAAATGAAGCCTCCAATAAAATCCAGTAAAGCACAGTGCAAGTCTTTCTAGGCAAAGAGAGCACGCAGGATACAGTTTTCCTGTCCCTGAAATGAACCTTGTTGTCAACGGAACCATATGAGCTGGTTATTTTTATGGGTCCAATCAAGTTGAAATTAAATATGCTTCAGCGGTATAAAAAAAGAACCCTGGGGCACAGTGGTTAAGTGTTGGGCGGCTAACGAGAAGGTGGGTGGTTTAAGCTCTCTAGCTGCTTGGTAAAGGGAAAAAATCTGGCGCGCTCCTTCTATAACTTCAGCCTAGGAAACCCCATGGGGTAGTTCTCTGTCTTTGAGGGTTGCTAGCGTAGTGGTTACGAATTGGGCTGCGAACCTTAAGGTCAGCGGTTCGAAACTACCAGCCGCTCCGCGGGAGAAAGATGAGGCTTTCTACTCCCGTAAAGATTTACACCCTTGGAAACCCTGTACAGGGTCGCTATGAGTCGGAACCGACTCCATGGCACATAACAACAACAACAACCTAGTAGTTATGAATCAGGCTGTGAACCTCAGGGTCAGCAGTTTGAAACTACCAGCTGTTCCACGGGAGAAAGATGAGGCTTTCTGCTCCCATAAAGATTTACAGCCTCGGAAACCCTGTACAGGGTCGCTATGAGTCGGAACCGACTCCATGGCACATAACAACAGAGAGCAAAACGGACTTAATGGCACACAACAACCACTTAATGTTGCTACTTCATGCTACAGAAAACAGACTCACTCACAACTGGTTCAAGGCACAGTGCCATACAATACTTTGCCGTAAGGAGCCACACTCCCTAGTTGATTTGTGTCCAATCCAAACTATATTCTTGACAAAAACTCAGTTATATCACAAAAGCAAAGGCATTATTTCTTTCAGTTTAGCCATCTGTAACATTAGCAACATTATGTAACATTATGTTCCGTTTCTATAAAATGGGCATATTGTTGTTAGGTGACACTGGGTTGGCTCTGACTTGGAGCAACCCTATCCTATGCACAACAGAGCGAAATACTGCCTGGCTGTGTGCCAGCTTCACAATTGCTATGTTGGTGTAGCCAATAGCAGCAGGCCCCTTTAGGATAGATCAGATAGGAGGTATATTTTTCTGTCACATACACTTGCCGTAGCGTCGCACAGTTCTTCAATGAGAAACGCTGAGCGGGTTCTGACTTAGTGATCCTGTATAGGATTTCAGTGGCTGTAAATCTTTGCTGGAGCAGAAAGCCTCATCTTTCTCCTGCAGAGTGGCTGGTGGGCTCAAACCACCGACCTTGTGGTTTCTGGTCTAGTGCTTATCCTACAGAAACACCACACTTGCACTCTCATTTATTTACGTTTGTTGTTGTTAAGTGCTGTCAAGTCGGTTGCGACTCAGAGAGACCCCGTACAGGGTTTCCAAGGAACAGCTGGTGGGGTTTGAACCAAGCACCGACCTCATTTTTACACAGCCCGACCCTCTGTAAATCTTAAAAATAGTTTTCTGCAACTATTTTCCTTCTCATATTTCTATGTGTAGATCGGATGTTCTGTCTTTTGTTGCTATGTGTTTTATAATCAATAGGAGGGAAGAACAAAAAGAGATGTTAAATTGCTTGTAGGGAATTATTTACAGAATTCTTGACAGAGCAGAGACGTTGCTAAGTGCAGCTGAGTCCAATCCGACTTATAAGTTTTCCAATGAGTGGCTAGTGGGTTTGAACTGCTGACTTTGCAGTTCAAGCCGACCTTGCAATCCAGTGCTTTATTTAACTGGGCAAACTAGGCCTCTTCCAAATAGGCCATCACTACTTAGTTCAGAAGTAGAAACAAATACATTCGGTTTCCGTCTTATAAGCAAATGACTACAAGAACCGTACTTTTTGTTACCATTCTGGGAAACCAGGGATGGACCGGGCAACTGTGCTCACTCAAATTCACTGCCACGGAGTCAATTCCAGCTCACAGCCACCTTGTCTATTTAAGGTTTCCAAGGCTGCAAATCTTTACAGAAACAGAAAGCCTCATTTTTGGCCCACAGAGCAGCGAGTGGATTTGAAGTGCCAGCCTTGCAGTTAGGAGTCCAGTGCTTTTCCTACATTACCACAAGGGCTAGAAGAGTAAAAAACTGGTATACAATGTCTAGGATCTACCTAAAAGAGACGCACAATTCACACAGCCAATTCATTTGAATTGCCCGATACTTTCCCAGAAAACTCTTTTCTAGTAATGATGTATACAGACCTTGCTCTAAAAACCGGTGTTCTAAGATGGTAAGGAACATCAAATTTGTTCACATAAAACCAGTAGAAGCGTATCCTTGGCTTAGCATAGTGTTTACTCCTGAAACCGTTCATTGCTTTCCTAATTATACAAAGCAAGAGGCACCTTTTTCATTCATTGTATCCTTAAATGCCCCAAGCTCTGGTTTCCTAAGTGAACTCTTGTTTTGCATGAATCCAGACTTTCTTAGGAACTACAGTGCAATCTGAATACCAATAATAAGAAATCTAGTCCCCTCCCCGTTTTAACAGGAAGTGCATTTTCTTCCTAATTAAAAAAAGAGTCGGAAGGTACCTGGGGAATGTTTGTCTATTCAAGGTGTAAACTGGCATTTAATTAACTAGGTACACATCATATGATGTCCAGATTATAAACTCCTAAATGCTATGAAATCCCACCCAGGAATAGAATCTATTTCTTCCTTAAAATGGTAACTTTGTCCTAAAACTGTTCCTTTCCTCCTAACACTGTCCTTATCACTATTCTATCTGCATAATACCATTCCTAGTGAAGTACTAAAAGTTCACATTCCTCAAAGTGTTTACCCAACATTGTGACTTAGTAGCAGACCTTCTAAGGTCCAATGTAAACACATTTCTGCAGAAAATGGATGGATCTCAATACGTACAAAAAAGATCTGAGCACTTGTATGTGGTTGTGGCCCCAGAAACCGAGCCAGAAAAACACGATGGAATCAGTAGTAGTGAAAATAAAAACTATAGATCGGCGCTGGCAATGAAGCAGACATTCTTGGGAAAGTGAGACAACAGGTCTGTCTTGTTTAGGGCTACATTTCACACAGTTTTTAAAAACATCACAGCACACATTAGATTTCTACTTTGGGTTACTTCAGGCAAACTTACATTAGTCATTAACCCCAGACTTTTGAATAGATTGTTTTACAGTTTCTAGGTGGAGTCCTGCTGTGGCACTGTGGGTTAATGCGCCAGACTGCAAAGCAGTTTGAACTGCAAGGTCGGCAGTTCAAGCTCACCAGCTGCTCCTCGGAAACCTTATACAGCTATGGGTGGGAATGGACTCCGTTGGCACATAACAACAGTAGTAGATAATATTACTCATTAGCAAGTAACTAATAAACCACTCAACTGAGTTTAGCCTAAGGAGGTGGAGGATGGATGCTGATTCACCTTACAAGGTTTGAGGGGAAAGCTGGCTGAGGGAGGAGGAACAAATGGCTTGGATGGGTAATAGCAAGGGATTGAACTATGAAGTGTGTGTCTTTGTGCACACCAAGATGGACAGTTTGAAGATTCGATCTCACAGACCAGGGAAAGCATCCAAGTAACGCATTCCACTCACTCAGATGTGTGTGCCTCACCAACTAAGGCTGGAAACTGTTTCCATTCTTTAAAGTATAAAAGCGCACGCCCCCCGGGCCGCATCCTTCACCTGGGGCGCTCCTCCACTGAGAGCGTGAGGCAAGGAGAGAAGTGCCGGCCAGGAGTGCTTCCAAGTGGAAGTGCAACCGCGCTCCCCCAAAGTTGAAACAACTGCTGCATCAGGGGGTCCCCTGTGTGTTGGGTCACTAGCAAGTGGATGCTCACGTTCTTTCCTCTCCTCCAACCTTGAAACCTTATCAGCCTGTGAGCTCAGCGGTCACCTGCGAAGAGCAGAGTAGCGCCACTCAGCTACCCCTAAAACCTCTCCCAGGGCCCCAAACAACCGGAAAAAAGATCCGAGAAACATCAACAACGAAGGCGCCCAGGGGAAGGTGACCGGTTCCCTGGAATGATGGGTCAGGAGGAGCTCACTGCACGGAGTTGTCATCCTCCCGCGACCAACCCCGGACGGTTAGCTGCAGGTCGCGGCGAAATAAAAACGAAATACAGCCCTTGCACCCACCAGACCGGAAGGGTTGGGGACCACTTGCCAGGAGTTGCGGGCGGCACCAGCCGAGTCACGTTCCGAAGCCACCTCGCCCGCTTCCGGCTCCGCGGCAGTCCCCTCCCCCAAGCCGTGGGCACTGGGCGGCCCGGGAGGGGGCAAGGGCCGGCTGGAGGGGCCGGCGTCCTCCTACCTGTGGTGGAGAGCACCGTGCTGGCGAAGAAGAGCGCCGAGGTGAAATCCCAGTTCCAGTTGCCGGAGGAGTTGCTGAGCACCGACACGCCGTAGCTGCTGGCCTCTAGCACCCGCGTCAAGAACTGCTCCAGCCGCTCCTCGGTCAGGCACTCGTGCTCCTGCAGAAAGCGCCGCTTCGCCTTAGCCAGGTCTTGGCGCAGCAGGTCCTCGTTGGGCAGCTCCACCGACGAGAAGACCACGGCGCCGAACACCAGATAGAGCAAGTAGCCCACCACCAGGAAGCCGAAGACCCAGGCCGAGCGGTGCCGCTCCACCAGCGGCACGCATGAGCTGCTGGCCAACGACTGCAGCATCTTCCTGCCCCAAGCGCCGGCGCCGCCCCAGCCCAGAGCTCCGGTGTCGCGCCGGGGCCCCAACGCTGCGCCCTTGGCGGAGCCGCCAGCCCGCGCCACCTGC